TTTAATATTATTAAAGTTGCTCTAAACAAAGCAAAACAAAATTTTATTTTTTATTTATTTGATTCATGTGTGATTAAATATAATAATATAATGATCAATACAAAATAAAAAATAAAATGACTTTTAAAGTCGGGGAAGAAAGCCCAATGTTTACAAGGGAAATAAGACCGACACGTGATTAGGGAGATTTGAATCATTAATTTAAAGTGCATGAATTCTGATTAGTTAGGCTAGTCCTGTTGATTCATTTTGACATCTATCTTATATAATAAGAGTATCTCCAACCCTTTATTTTTCTTTTATATAATTTAATTCTAAATTTGAGTTAAAAAAAATTAATTTGATATGAACTATTCCAACTGTTTCATTAAATTTTCATGAAAGTGTTTTAAATTTTTTTTTAAATTTTATTCCAAAATTTTACTTTAATCAAATTTGATAGGGAAAAAAATCATCTATAATTATTTATCTTTTTAAATTTTGATCAAATTTAAATTACATGAACAATTTGATGGAAAAAATATTTTTCCCTTAAATGATTGGAGATAGTTTTTTTAGCACTTTTTATCAATTTTAAATTTGATGGAAAAAAAAAAAATTTGACTTAGACCATGTTTGGTTGATGTTTCTAAAATTTTTTGTTGATTTTTTTAGAAAAATAAAAATTAATTTGACAAAAATAAATATGAAAAATATTTTTTAAGCTTTTTAAAAGTAACTTTGCTTGTTTTTGGTTTTCCAAAAACACTTTTCAAAAAATTCAACTTTCTTATTTTTCGTATTTTTTTTTGTTTTTATTGAATTTTTTTAATATTTTAAGTATTTTTTTTTTGTTAATTTTTAGACCCACCTAACATAAATAGACATAAAAGTATAATTTTGTGAAAAAAACTTTTAAAAAATCATTAAATACCAAAAATAAAAAAAAAATATGAGAATTCAGTATATTTTGTATATTTTAATGTATTTATTAATTTTTAAAAATATTTTTTCACAACTTTTTTTACTTTTTAGATACATCTAAGTAAAGTGCATCTAAAAAAGTAAAAAAAAAAATGTTTAAAATTTTAAAAATATTTATTAAAAACAAAAAAACAAGAAAAAAAAACTCAATTTTCAAAAAATTTAATCCAAAAAACTCAAAATAAACACACTAATTTATACTCTTCAAAAAAATAATACTAAGCCCTTCAATTTTTTTATTTTTTTATAAATTAATTTTTAATTTTAAAAAAACAAATTTTTAAGGGTTAAATTTTTTTTTATAAAAAAATGACTCTCTGATTTTACGCATTTCTCACTTTAAACCCTAGTGTTTCAATTTCGATAAATAAAACCCTAGAGTTCCATCCGTATTTCAATTTATCCCCTCTTTCCATCTTCGTCCGTGTAAAACAGCGAAGGGATTTAAAATGAAAAACGAGTGAAACTTAAGAATTTTTTTTGTAATTAACCATTTTTTTAAAATTAAATTCACTAAAAACAAAAAAAAGGATAATTACAAAATAAACACCAAAGTTTCACGTGTTTCTCAATTTAAATCATAGTATTTTTAACTTTAAACCCCCTTCCCGTTAACTTATACAGACAGAGAGCGAAAACTGAAATATGAATGAACTCTAATATTTAATTTGTCAAAATTAAAAAACTAAATTTAAAATGAAAAAAGCGTAAAACTTCAAAAAAAAAAATTTGTAATTAACCCAATTTTGAAAAGAGCACTCGCTCTATACATTAAAATATTTTGTCTGTAAGGACAAGCTTTTACAAAATGGCCTATATATCGTAAAACCAGACAAACATCATACAATACAATTTTCTCTCTCTCACTCTCTATCTCCCTCTTCAAACCATACTGCATTTCTCTCTCTTCAAACCCTCTCTCTCTCTCTCTCTCTTGTAGTCGTCGGAGTCGTCGTCAACCTTGCATCGCCGCTAATGAAAATCGTCGGAGCTTTATAGCTGAGCTGTTCCACTACTTCTCCTTCATCGTTGCTCCTCGACTATTGCTTATCCGTCACTATTCTTTAGCCACTGATCTCCTTCTGCCACCATCGGTCGTCTGTCTCTTTCATTACGCCTCAACTTCTTTATCCTTTTAGATCTGATAATGGAATATCACAGGTCAATTTCTCTCTCTCTCCCTCCATCTCTATCTCCGCAACTTCTCTCTCCTTCATTTTTTACCATCGCTCTACCACTGCCTCCACCGCTCCACCACAGTCTAGATTTGGAACTAGATCTACCGCGCAAACCATACCCGCCTCCCTCAATCGTAGTTTATCATAATTTGTTTGGCAGTCTAATATCCCATCATCAGAGACGCAAAACGCATCAACAAATCCCTCTCTCTCTTCTGCCGTGCACTTCTTAACCACCGGCTATAGCTCTAATTCCCTACAATCATCTCCACTGTAAGAGTCGAAAAAGCTCATTGTCAAAATCAAAAGATCAAACGACTAAGAAGAGCTCTTCGAAATCAAGCGGTAAGAAAAGCTTTGTGTGTGATACGAAAATGAAGAGTGGTAGTGATTTGATGAGCCTTGTTGGTTCTTCTAGGTATTTTTTGGGGAGTGAGAAGAGTAATTTAATGGAGATGGTATCGGATTTTGACCTAGTTTTGACATTGGTTCTAGTGGATTCTATTAAGAAGTCTCAAGCTGTTAAAGCAAAGAGGTCTTCTACTTCAAATTCAAAACCTCCACAATTTTCCTTATCCACCAGTACTATGACTAGAAATCTCATTTATTTATTTATTTATAGTTGTTGCTGTTGTTAGTAGTGTTGATAATGATAATGATGAATGTTTTTGATGAAGAAGAAACAAGTTGCAACAGATTAAAAAAATATGGATAGATTTGTTCAAAAACTTGAACAAATAATAAAATATGAATAGATTTATTTCAACAGATAAAGCAAGAAAAGAGAAGTAGAAAGATGAATAGATAGAGAGAAAGTTTGAAAATCATGTAAATTTGAACAGATAGAAAAAATAGGTAATAAAAATTCAACAGATAAAAAAAATCAACATATAGTTTAAAAAATTCTATAGATAAAAAAATATTTGAATAGATAGATAAAAAAAAATTTGAACAGATAGACAAAAGATTTGAATAGATAGAAAATAATTGGAAAAGATAAATATAAAATTTGAACATATAGTCAAAAAAAGCCAACAAATAAAATTTAAGGGGTAAAATTAGAAACAAAATGTTCTTTCAAACAACAAAAAAAATTCTCACTAAATTATTTTACAAATGATAAATCTCTCAGACCATCTTCAACCGTGTATCAAACTTATCATCAAATTTAAATTTGATGAAAAATGGTTCATTTATCAGCTCCAACGGTTTTATCAAATTGGTATCAAACCTATGATTTTATTTTTCTTTTATCAAATTGATGACCAATGTGTCTTTCATCAAATCATTATTTATTGTTATTGAATTTTCACTACTGGATGTCCCCTTGAATGACCACCTTAATGTAAAAGTTTGTGAAAAAATTACATTGGCCGATCGACCTCTTGATCGTCCTCTCGGTCGACCTCCTTGATAACCACCTCAAAAAAAAAAAATTGTGAAAAATTTACTCTAGCCGGTTGACCGGTAATTTGACGAAGTCTCAAAACCCTCCGTCGGAATACTATATCAAAGAATTTTTTTTTTTTAAATTTTCACTCAAATTTAATAAAAAAAAGTTAATACACCATTAAAAATGCCCTCATAAATAAAAAAATATATATATTTAATGAACCTAATTCTTTATATCTTTCTTATCTTACACTTTTCGACAATTTTTTTTTCTTGAAAAATCAAACCAAACATCCCTTAGGTTGCGTTTGGTAGAGTTTTGTAAATATGATTTGAGAGTATAAGTTGTATTTTGACTTTGTGAGTTGTGGAATTATGATTTGAGTGTAGAAAATTTGTTTGGTTATGGTTTTTGAATAGAGTGTTGAATTGAGTTTTGAATTGAGTGTGGAATTGAATTTTGAAAGTTTGATTTGACATGTGAAGTAAGAAAATTTGTTTGGTTATGAGTTTTGGAAAGAGTTTTCAAAACTTAATTCAAAATACATCTACTCATAACAAAACACACTACTTTCACACTATTGAAAATTCTGATCAACACTCATAACCAAACTCTTTTTAAAATTCAATTAAAATTTTTTATTATTAACAGAAAATAACATTAATCAATTTTTTAATTAAAAATACTACAAAGGAAATAATTTTTTTTTTCAAAATAAATATTCAAAAAAATTAAATCATAAATATTTAAATAATTTAAATAATCTAAAAAATTTAATACAGCATAATTTAAAAAATTAAAATAATATTCAAAAAATTAAATCGTAAAAATTTAAATAATTTAAATATTCAAAAAATTTAAATAATTTAAAATGTTAATATTTTTAATTTAAAACAACTGTACACTCAAATCGTAACTAAACACATAAAACAAAACTCAATTAAGAAATTATTTTTAAAATTCATAACTAAACACATAACTCGAAACTCCGTAATACTTTCATAACTCTATACTTAAATCGTAATCAAATACATAACAAAAAAAATTAAAATAGTAATATTTTAAAATTAAAATATTTAAAAATATTTTTATAAAATAGAGTTTGAATTTATTTTTATAAAATAATTTAAAATTTTAAAAATTAAAATAGTAATATTTTGAAATTAAAATATTTAAAAATATTTAAAAAAATCGTAACGTATTTAAATATTAAAATATTTAAAATCTTAACAAAATTAAAATATTTTTAAAATTAAAATATTAATTTGAATTGAGTTTTGAAAAAAGTTTTGAATTATGTGTTTTGTTGTGAGTTTTGAAAAGTAATAATTATGTTTTGAATTAAATTTTGAAAAATAGATATAGAATTATAATTTAAAAGCTCAAAATAAACAATACATTCAAATTAATAGATGAAACTATAATTCAAATTACTTACCAAACGGAGCCTTAAATTTTCAAACAATAGGCGACAGCTCAACCCGAATTTCCGTATTCGGTGCGGACTCTGCTCTCAATAGCGTCTCTCTCTCTCTCTCTCTCTCTCTCTCTCTCTTTCTCTCCTTCCTGTAAAAATCAAAAAGCTTCCAAACCATGGATAATCACCAGTCTTCTAGACCACCAGTCACTGGCTACCCAGCCCCAGGCTACCCCCCTAGCAACAACCCCAGCGGCTGCGCCACCACCGCCGGAACCGGTTTCCCTTACGCCGCCCCACCGCCTCGTCCTGCTTACTACAACCCACGTTACCCTTACTACCCACGCGCCACCCTCTTCCGCCGCCTCCTCGCCATCCTCATCGCCTTCTTCATCATTTGCGGCACCATCGTCTTCATCATCTGGCTTGTCCTCCGCCCCCGCTTCCCCGACTTCCGTGTCGACTCACTCTCCCTCTCCAACTTCAACCTCTCCTCCTCCCCATCCTCCCTCATCTCCGCCAAATGGGACGTACGCTTCACCGTCCGAAACCCTAACCACAAGCTCTCCATCTTCTACGATCACATCAATGCCTACGTCTTCTACAAGTCGGAGTCTCTCTCCGACACCACCCTCCCTCCCTTCGTTCAGGGGACCCGGAATCAGACGACTCTGCGAGCGAGTTTCGCTACGGCGTCGTCTTACGTTGATGATTGGGCTGTTGAGGGCATCAATGGCGAGAGGAAGAGTCATGGGACTGTGAATTTCAATGTCAGATTGCTCTCTAGGGTTAGATTCAAGGCCAGTTGGTGGCGAGCCAGGCACCGTATCTTGAGCGTCTATTGCGGAGATTTGACGGTTGGGATTTCGTCGAATGGCGCTGGAGGGACGTTGGTTGGCGGAGCAAGGGAATGCAGGGTTGGCATTTGAATGAATTTAGGTAATTTTCTGAGGATCCTCTGTTCCTTGTTCTGAGTATCAAACTGTGTTTTTACAGATTGAGAGCTAGGGTTTAGACCTTTTGTGATATAATGTTAATGCACGAGCGTTTTGGTTTTTTGTTAATCAGTTAACTTTTGCACAGCTTTTTGTGGTTTCAATATATTATTAGTTGCTGATATTCATTGATTGTATATATGTTTGTTTGAGGCTACATTGGTTTTTAAATTGCATTACATATTGTATATGTTATTGACCGATGTGTATCAAAAGATATTACATTTTATCCCACTATTACATCCCAAGGTAAATTTATAAACAATTCAAGTCTAAAATCTTCAACTCACATCTAGGCCCAATACCAATATCAATTAAGCATTTCTGATGTGTTAATACACCCTTTAAATTCAATTTCTAATTTATGACTTTTTTAAGTTTTTCGAATTTTGTCTATGATGGGAAACTTTCAATAAGCTCCATAGAATATGATTCCGTTTTTATGTGATGCAAGTGGGCATAAATCAATTTGACGGAAGATTCTTGATATCAGGAAAGCAGATTTGTGAGGGAGGTAGGCTAAAGTAAAAGTAAGAATTTGCTTTCCATCTTAATAAACTTTGTGTGTAATATTAATTTTATAAAGATGTTTTAATTTTTGTTTTTTAAAAAATGTTAAAATTGAAAATCAATGTATTCCAGCACTATTTGGGGTACACTATATGAGTATACTTTTTTATCCTTTTGTCATTTTTGGATCACATCATTTCTCTATTTCTCTGCATATCTTTTCGTAATCATCCCAAACAACCCCTCAATATCATGTGTTGTGTCATATATAGGATCATGTATCTTCTTTCAATTTCCTTGCATTCTAGCTGAAGGAGAGACTTACCTTTACTTAGAGAGGGGCAGCGGTAGGCATGTTTATTGTAAGATAAATTAGCATAAGATATGTAGTAGTCATGCTTGTCAATTTACCTCTATAAGTAGGGCTAAGATACTAATAATTGTGACTATGTGTGATTGATTGAAATGGTCCTTTACGTGTTTGAAGCCTTGTTTTACTGAACAATTTAAAACACGAACTATATCAACCTTATACTTGTGTTATCGGGAAAATAACAAATAAAAAAAAAGGTTGATCATCTTTATCTCTATTTGACCTAGTTGTTGCACTCTGGAAACAGCCTCGAGGGCTAAGATATGGGAATGCTTTAAGATTCAGTCTTGTGTACAAAAGGAGTCATCTAAGATTTTTTAGCCTAGTTCCAAATGCAAATTGGAATCCCGTGTGGATGACTTGTGGATGATTGTCTTTCTTTTTGATAAGAACACAGAATCAAATGGTCATAAAGGCCACATTGGCTGCTTCATCAACTTACATTGACAAATTAGTTGTGGACGACATTGATGGGGATAGAACATGCAGAGGTTTGAGTTTTGATGTGAGGATATCGGCTAGGTTAGGTTTGAGGTGAGCTCATGGCAAAAAAGTAGGCTTTTTGAGATCTTGTAGGGGAGACAATCATTGTGATTACATTTGAACAGCGATAGGACATTGATTGGTGGTGATTAGGTTTCTTTTCTGATGCTCTATTTCATAGCCACAAATTGAAGTTGGGATTTAATTGTAGAGTATAATAATGCACATGGTGCTACATTTTTGTTGATCGATTAATGTATCAATTTCCATGTAGATTTTTTGTGTGCGTGTATGTGCGTGCATGTGTTGGTAGATTGACGCTGTATTGATTTTGGTGTATGATTTGCAGTTTTTTCTTACATTGCTATCTATTCATGTTGGCCTATGTGCCTTGAATTTTTTTCTTCTACCGTTTGGTTTTTCTGTGTCATTGTATCTTTGTATCCAAGTCATTAACTATGTCATTGGCTTTTTTTTTTTTGTTAAATGAAAAAGCATATGAATCAAGATTATTTTGACACAGACTACAGTGGGGTTGCTGAATACCTAGGACTGGAGAGGTCCAATTGCATTTTGTGTGGGATGAAATTAATGATGAAGACAAATGGAGATGTAATTATAAATGCTACTACAATAAATCATCAGTGATCTTTTATGTTCCTAAATGCCTTTGACTTTAATAGCTCAAGTAAGATAATGGCTTTCTATATGTTATATGGATTTTGTTACAGGTATGGGTGTCGGGTACATGTATATATCATAGTGTTGGATTCATCTAATTCCCATTTCCAATGATGTTGGGACATGACAAAATATTCATATTTCTTAATATAATTATTTTATTTTATTTTATTTTTTTCCGTTCAATTAGTATTTAGAAGGTTTCATAAAGCATTTCATGCATAATATGAGATTTTTATGCATAATTATAGTTTAATTACTAAATATCCAGTTAGTTGAATATTCAACTATACATTCCGAATGCATGTCGCCTATCCTAATTCAAGTGTAGAATGTTTAGCACTATTACGTCATATACATTTAGAAGAGCTCATATAACATAGATTTGTACTTAGAACGCTCTCTAGAATACAATTGGGCCATTTAAATGTTAAATGTTTACTTGTGCCCTAATATGCTAGTTACTCAAAGCCAATTCTATGCATATTCTATACATATATATAGTAAGATTGAATTATATCCTTGGGACTACCACCTTCCAAAAGGTAATAGGAATTGTTCTAGGATTGAAATTGCAGGAAATATACAGTTCTTTAGGTTTTGCAAGCAGCCTTGTGTGTAGAAAGTAATAGAGGTTGGGTCTTTCCCTTTTTTGGGTATTTCAATGGCAGCTTACACCATTGTTCCCTGAAATTTCCGCGAGTGTCAATTTGGTCCTTGTTCTAATTATATCATATTTGACTTTTAATATTTTGCTTTTTGTCAAATTGATCCAATTATTAACGGGAGTTGACATTTTTTCCAGAAAAATTGTCACGTGTGTGCCTTTCTTGACCACTTTCACGAGCAAAATTGGAAATTCACCATGTCTCCCTCTCTCTTGATGTTCTTCCCCATTCTCTTTGATCTGCAGCAACAGCACACACCCGTTTGTTTTAGTGAGTGGATTATTAATACGGTGGGATTGAGTAGATTAAGCGAGAGGATTATTAGTTGTTTGGGTGTTCTAAATAAGTGCACTTTTTGACTTTTTAGACTAAAAAGTATAGGAAAAAAAATATGGTTGTTTGAGATAATTTTTTGATTTTTTACAAAAAAAAATATATATTAAAATATTGTATAAAATAACAAAATTACTATATCACTCCTACATATATAAATGCCTATTGACAGTGATGGTACTGTCATGCATATGATGGGCAGCTAGGACCAGATTGCCTACGGTGCTGTTCGGACTGGACGGTGCTGTTCGGCCTGTGGGGCCCACCACGGGTCCTGTTTTGATAATCGGAGCCATTTAATGTGTAGAACTCGTTGAGTACTATATAATTATAAAAAATTCTGTTGATCGATAATTATCTGATAGTTATTTGATCGGATTAGTTTTTTGTCAACCGTTACTTTTTGTGCATCGTCTATTTTTTTTTATATATACAAAATTAATTTGATTATATAGTTATTGATATCCGATCAACGTGTACTCGACGAGTTCTACACATTTGAACGGTTCCGATTATCAAAACGGGACCTGTTGTGGACTCTCATTGGCCCAACAATACTCGTGACACCTCAGCCTGTATACATATATGTTCTAACAACATATCATTCCAATAATATTTATTCACACATATATACATATATGTTCTGACAGCACCAGACATCACTATTATTGCCATGCCAAAACTTGACTTGTACTTTTTTTTTTAAATTTGTTTATATATATGTATATATATATTTTGTGTAAATAATGATAACTTTTTGACTTTTTTAGTAACTTTTTAGCATTTTGTCTTTTTTCGTGAATGTCAAACCAGCCCTTAATGTGGTGGTATTCGGTTGGTGATGTAAGATAAGTTATGTTTGTTTGTGCACTATAAAGTGATATTAGTTGGGGATTAGATATATGAAATTACCTAAAAGCCCTTGTTACATAAGAGATGCCTTCCTTATTTTTGTAAAGTGAGGAGCAAAATAGTATTTCTACCTACAGTCCCATAGGATTAGATAACAATACTATCACCTCCGTGGCTAGTTACCTCATTGGAGGGGTTTCGTAGTCCCATGGGTCTCTTAATCCCATGACCACTTTCCATGATTTTTTAAATTCTTTTGGATCCCACCTCATTACTAGTCCAATTCCATCCTTCAACTCTAGGGCCTAAGAATTGACTATATATTTTTATTCAAGGAAATTGTCATCTGGTTTTAAGTGGATTAACTTCTGATAGATGGTGATATTGGCTGAGTCAGTCCACAAGTTGATCTACTTCGTTTCTAGCCCCGTTGCACACTAACCAGTTATTTTATGGCGCAAAGCCAAATCCTGTTAGCACTATTGCAGCAAGTCCATTCTAAAAACTATAACGAGTACTCAACAACATATGATGTGTCGAATGATTTTGATTTGCTCATTCGCCTTGTTTGCCCTATATGCATGTTGTTTACAGTAAGTGTGTGTAGATATAGTTGATAATGGGCTGTTCAAAAAAAATGTTGATATTGGGATTAAATTGGATGTTTGTCAATAAATTGAATGTTTTGTTAACATTCTTTAAAATTTTAGAGACGAGTAATGTTAGAGACCCTAAATATTCTACCAAAAGTTTTACCAAATGTCTTACATGGGCCATGTGAGACATTTGGTAAAACTTTTGGTAGAATTTTTGGGGTCTCTAGCATTTTTGTTTTAGAGACCTATGCGTGCAGTGTGTGTATTGTTGTGCTTCACTCAGATGGGAGATGGGTCGATGAAGACATTGAATTTTCTCGGCGAGCATCAAATCATGGCCCAAATTATGATTTTGGACATTATTTGAATAATGTTGGTTACGGCAAGGCAAGCATGTTGGGCCATGGATATTTATCTGTCGCTCCCCTTCTTGCAGTCGTATTTGCCATGGCTCAACCCACTGGGGGTCCCCAGCACGGTTGTTATCTGTCGCTCCCCTTCTTGCAGTCGTATTTGCCATGGCTCAACTGGGCTATCTTCGATGGGGATGGCCATTTTTTCCCAGCGCTGATGGGTGAGGCGGGGATGGATTTTTTTTTTTTCTCGTCTCATCCCGTTTAATTTTGTCTCGATTATATTTATAAAATATATTTATTTATATATAATATATATCATTTTATTTTTTTCAATATAATAATTTTAATAGATTAAAATATTACTCTTAATATTTATTTTTACTCATTTATCTTATCTTACATTTATTATTAATTAGAGTTAATAACTAAAAGCCTTATTTACAAATATTATGGTAGCTCAGGTTTTATTTAAAATTTTTTGAACCAATAAATTCTATTTAGTAAAATTGAGAATATTATGATTTTTTTTTTTTTTTTTAAACTAAGAACATTATCATTTTTGCATGGTAATGGTCTAAATAATTGTTTAACTAATTGATGAAAAAAACAGAATATGAGATCAATCATTTTGCCTTTTTACATATTTGTTTGATTTAACTATCCAATGAAATCGAGAACATTAACAGTTATTTTCAATTTTAAAATTGAGAATATTATCAGTTTTTCATTTTTAAAGGTTTTTTTTTTTTTTTCTTCAGTTTTACATATGAATGCTCCATTATCGTGTTCCTTTATAGACACAAAATTTTCAATTTTGCACAAAAAAAAATTCAATTTTTTCAAATTTTTTTTTTCAAAAAAAAGTTTATTTATTTATTTGAAAGTTGATATTTTAAAGTTTTGAAAATCAAAATAAATATCAAATTATCATATTCCTTTATAAATAATTATAAATGATAAACAATCATTATTTGAAGGACAATTTTGATTATTAAAAATTTAATGTGATTTGAAGGTCAAAAATTTGGTGTATAAGTTCATAAATTAAAACTTGTGTAACTGTCCCTATATATTATATTTTTATTAATTTTTGCATTTTTTTTTTATATTACAAAATTAACTCCCAACCGCCCTATCCTAAATATGATACGAGGTAGGGGGAGTTGGCCTCATTGGGGTTGCTTAGATTAATTGATAATCCACACCAAACCCATAGGAGAGGGAGTTGGCCTCATTGGGGTGAAACAAATTAATTTATAATCCGCCAAGCTCATAGTTGTAGGTGCGAGCACGATTTGATTTTTTATTTTGTTAGAGAAAATGAATGACAAGACTATTATCTATAATTTTATAAAAAAAAATTCTTTAGGTACAACGGAAATAATTTTATAAATTTTGAATCATAAAAAACAAACATGATCAAATCACTTAGACATGGTTCGATTATGTGTGAAATCAGAGTTTATAGCAATAGCAATCTACAATTATTCACAATTTGCTCATAAAATATTGTTCAATATATCAAGCAAAATGCATCATGTTTTAAACATTTCAAAATAATGCAACATTATTTTTCAAACAAGGAGTAGGATGCCATAATTAAAATTAAGGGATTGTTTGGGATGTCCTAAACAAGTGCACTTTTTGACTTTTTATGAAATATGGATTAGGTATGGGTTGCGTTTGAAGTGATGTGATAGAGAGGTGATGTGACTTAAATAAGATGATGTGACTTAAATAGAATAGTGACTTTTTGAATTTTTTTGAGAATGCCAAACTTGGCCTAAGAGGAAAAAAAAAAGAAAAAGTGCCATTTTTTTTGACACATCAATTGAGCAACCAAAAATTGTTCCTGTTCATAACCAAAAGTATTGTCAAAGCAACCATTCAATTTTTCCTCCAAAAAAAAAAAAAAAACCATTGTTCAATTTAGTTGTCTCAACAGGGTTATGACATTAGGTATATATAAATAATTTTTATATATTTGCAAATATGAATGGTATTATTTGGTTTGGTTTAAAACTAGAACCGTGATTTATGAAACAAACAGTAAATTATGGCTCACCTATTTTTTGAATTGAGAACAAATTGGGCTTTAAAAAAAGGGTAAACTAACTTTATCCCGTTAACTATAGGCTATTATTATGTTTTGAAAAGTTGGTAATAAATTAGTTTTTGGCTTTTTATCAAGCTTTTTAGCTTTTTGGAAAGTGATTTGAGAAGTTGGTAAAATGTTGACTTTTTACTTTTTAGTTTAATATTTATTTATAGTGTCAAATCAAATTAAAATGATCAAAATATCCTTAACCAACATAAGAAA